ACTATTAGATGCTGTGCTGTGAAAAATTTAATATTCAAAAATACATTTATTGAAAGGAAAACTACAAGTTACACGAGCCCCAATGTCATATACCACACAAAAGGAATTTGTTTGAGTCGGACAAAGTGGAATAGAAACAAACTTTTTATGCTTTGCAACTATACTTAGAAAATCAAACAGGGAATAAAAGATGGAAATTGCTTAAGGAGACTTAAAGAAAAAATAGATTACCTGTATATCAGACTGTATATCAGACTGTACATTAAAAGACAAATATAAGCAGACGTTGCTTGAAGCTGAAAAGAAATATTAAAGAATATTAATTAAGTGTGGTGAAACCTAGGAAAACTAGAATTGAGAAGCTGTGTCAATACAGATACTAAAAAAGGCAGATCAAAAGTGAAAACAAATATTGAGAGCAAGTAGACTAAAACGACAGAAGGAAGTTAAGATTATCTGAGGTCGATTATTGAGATTACACTAAATAGACAGAACAAAAGTTAATAGAATGTGAAGTCAAATATTGAGAGAACACTAAACATATTGAATAAAAGTTTATATAATGTGAGATCGTACATGAAAAAGCAAATAGAAACCGAGGTTGTGTTTCACTACAGAAAGAAACAGTAGACAATAAAAGCAAACAGCTTTTCCATTGTCAATTTTCCTAATTCATGTAGTTATGTTCAACTAGCCCTGTATATGGTGTTCATGTCTTCCAACTTAGTCGATATTCAAGAGCATTTTCTGAAACGAAAAAGTTTTAAACCGAGCAGGCTACTTACATATAAGTTGATGTTGCACGGATTTCAACAACACCGTTTAAAGTCAGCATTTGGTAAATTCTTTGGTTGTTATGATGACCTTGTTAGCAATTACAACATATCATTGGGTCCTATTTTGACTGACAATCACATTTACATACCGATTATAAGGCGTTCCTTTTTATACTAAACTTGACTACGGATAATTCTCTTTACCTGATCAATACATGGGCTCATGGAGGTGTGACCGGTCTAGGGGATGCTTACTCCTCCTAAGCACCTGATCTCACCTCTGGATTTTACAGGAGTCCGTGTTTTATGTCCTGTTCACAGATCTGTTTTGTTTGTAGGTTTTTTGAGATCGATCTTCACGCATTTCACAGAAATAATAATAAGGTGAGGACCAAAACAAAAATCTCTAGGACATATTTTTACATCTAAGGGTTATTTACTTGAGCTACTTTCATTTAAATGTCATTGAAACCTACAGTGGCTTTGTGATTTAAAAAAAATAAAATTGCTGAGTGGTTATGATATCGGCGTTACCTAACACAAGTTTTACATTTAAAAGATCTGTATCATTTTCCATGACATGATAACTTGAAATCACTGGCGTTACACTATTAGTGAGCATGTTCTAGTTTAATGGATAACATCATCTACGAACCCATGATAGATTAAAAAGAAAAATGGCTTTGAACATTCCAAAAGATTTTCAACTTCAAAATCTGAAAATTTTGGGATTTATAGATAAGATATATAATGCACATTTGCAATTTTGACTGATTTTTGATTTGTCTTAAATTTTTTAATCCTAATGATTTCATTGAACATTAAATTTCGTGAAAGATTTTTTGCTCAATAAATGATGAAGGCGAAAGATTCAAATAAAGGCAGTACACGTGTTTTAACCTGTACGGTTTCTTTAGGAGGTTTTGCATTTCATGCTTACCTCGGTATTCATGGCAACAACAACCAGGTGGTGAAATTTTCACATTGTGATTTATTCTTAAGATGTTTCTTATATGTAATCGAAGTTCTGTCGTCTTTCCTGGTTGCTGGAGCAATGATTTATCTCTTAAAAGGCACGCAGTGTACAGATGATCATTACATGTTATACAGGTCTAAAATGGAAATAATATGATAATATAAGGACAAATCCAGTAATCTACTGATAGAGCCTTAATACTATCAAATCCAGTAATCTACTGATAGAGACTTAATACTATCAAATCCAGTAATCTACTGATAGAGCCTTAATACTATCAAATCCAGTAATCTACTGATAGAGCCTTAATACTATCAAATCCAGTAATCTACTGATAGAGCCTTAATACTATCAAATCCAGTAATCTACTGATAGAGCCTTAATACTATCAAATAAAATCTATATTCTTATTTCAAACAGGTATTATTATCAATAATAATCAACTAAAAAAAAATAGAAATAATGTATAATATCATAGTGATATGAATACTTGTCTTGAAAGTGAATTGTATGTTTTTATTATATACTGTTCTATAACACATATGGTTTAAACAAAAGCATTTAGTGTGTTTTACACATCCTGGAACATCACCAGTTATCGATTTTGGATGTGATACAAATTTTGCCATACTAATCACTGTGTATTATATAACAGCTGTGTACAACAACTATGATGGCGATATCACTGTATATTGTATAACAACTGTGTACAACAACTATGATGGCGATATCACTGTATATTGTATAACAACTGTGTACAACAACTATGATGGCGATATCACTGTATATTGTATAACAACTGTGTACAACAACTATGATGGCGATATCACTGTATATTGTATAACAACTGTGTACAACAACTATGATGGCGATATCACTGTATATTGTATAACAACTGTGTACAACAACTATGATGGCGATGTTCGAAATACACTTATGATAGAGCTGACATGAGGGAGAATGATTTCTTATCTAATCAGTGTTTGGCCATTCAAGGAATTGATGCATCATTTTATTTAAAAAGATATAATGCACACCTGAGTCTCATTTTCTATCTAGAGACTTTTGAAAAAAATCATAAGAATTCTCAATGAGTTCTCCAGATTTAGCCAATTGTCATGGCATTATATATTTTTCACTTTGATATTTGTATATTTTGAAAGACAGTAATACCTTATGATCTTGGCGAAATGTAGAACTTTGAACCCTAATTTTGGCCCAGACAAGCGATTTTAATGATGGGTTTATATAAATCTGACAATTTGAACTTTACAGCAGTTGAGAATTTTTATTTTTTCACTTTTAATCCCTTTCAAATTAAGCAGATTTCTTTCTGGATCTAAACCTGCATTTGGAATTGCTTTGAATGTAAAAGGTGAAGATAAAGAACACTAATCGATTTCAATTTTTTTCTTATAAACAATACATATATGTGAAGAGGGCATAAAACACGGATCCCTGGAAATTCCAAAGGTGGGATCGGATGCCTAGGAGGAGTTGGCATCCCCTGTTGACCGATCACACCCTCCGTGAGTCCTATGTGTTGATCAGGTAGTCGGAACTTTCTGTAGTCAATTCAGTATAAAACAAAGGCCTAACAATTCGTATGAAACAAGTCAGTCAAAATACAACCCAATGATAGCTTATATTTGCTTACAAGGTCATTATAAAGACCATAAAATTTACGAAATGCAGACTTTAAACGAGGTTGTTGAAATCCCTGTAATATCAACTTATCAGTGAGTAGCATGACTCGATTTAAAAATTGATCGTACTTAGGGCAAGCTTTTGAGTAGTGAGTAAGTTGGGAGACATAAACACCATAAGCAGGTGATAGTGGAATATTAGTACATTAAATAAAGAAAGTTGACGATAGAAAAGCTGTTTGTCATACAATTTAGTTGTTAATTGGCCTTTATCGTATAAAGTCAGTAAAACATCCAAATATGAAACAGATGTGGCAGACTCTGTGGTGTCTGGGATATTTCGAATCGACATACGAATGAAAATAACTTGTTAATTGATAAAACATCATCGATATATCTGAATGTCAAATTGAAGACCACAGCTAGTGTTTTCCTCTTCTCATGTTGGAGTTATTTTTTTTTTTAAATCTGCTTCAAAGGAATATAAAAAGAAGTCAGCTAACAAAGGAGTATAATTAGTAACCATCTGATTTCCAACAGATTGTTGGAAAACTTGTTCTCTGAAGACTACCAAAATGTTGTCAATAAAGAACTCCAGCATCTGTTTTAATATCAGCTTCAGAGTACTTGCGTGTACAATCAGAGTGGTTTTTAACGAAGTATTTTTGCTGATGACCAATCAAAAAATGTGAAAATTTCTGAGTTCCGTTTTTTTTTGTAAGAAACAGTTGTCCTTGATATCAAAAAGAATAGATTTTAATTTATCGTGAGAAATTGAAAACTGAGTTTTGCGTCCCAACAAATATTTAAGGACAGACAGACGGACGGATAATGTGACTCCTATTAGATTCCCTCACTACACACAAATACTAGATACGTAAAATAAAATAGAATCATGAGGTTTAAGCAATTTTTATTCATTAAATAAATAAACCATATATGCATTCAAATTCAATTTCTATCGGCATCATAATATCATTTAGAGACAATTGTCAAACACATATTACATCAAATAGAGATTCATAAAATATTTTTCGCGACAGTCATGCACTTGCATAATATTTCGGAGCATTTCTTTTCCTCCTTTTGATATTTTTTCGTTTAGAAAGCACTTTTTTTTTATATCTTCATCGTTGTGGTCGTGATGTGTGTGGAGGGAGGGGGGGGGTGTGACGTGGTAACGTCTGTACAAATTAACATTATTGAAAACTTTTCTAAAAAAATATTCCTTAAGAGGAATATGCACAAGTACTGAGAAACACCCATGTTTTCTAATAAAAATATTTTTTTCTAGACAGAATAAAACACTTAATATAATAGAGCAAGATTGGAATCAGTTCTCCAGTCTTACCTTTCTATACATGCATCTTCACTTGACAAGCATGATCCCTAAAGCTCTATTAATTTTTATTTGACAACTCTGCTACAAGTTTAGTTTTCATGAAGATGGCAATTATCTTACGACTGGTATAAGAAATGTATTTCAAGGTCCACATCTTTTTCTAAATACAAAATATTAGTTTTCGTTTTTCTCTTTATAGAATACTACTATATATAATTAGCTTTGAGATTCTTCATAAGACTCTTCTTTTGTAACAATGATATATTTTTTTCATTCCATTTACAAGATGGCACACATTTGAGATGGACCCTGCTTTATTCTTTGGCTGGAGAAAGACAATGCCATGGCTTGAGCTTTCAACAGGGAGTCCCTAATCACAGATTTGTCCCCAACCATCATGCTTTTTAGAGCTTGATTGGGCTCCAGTAAACCGATATAATTAACAATATCCGGGATAAACAATACCTTCCCTCCATTGGAAGTTATTTTTAGCTGATCCATTGAGTTGTGACCGTAGTAAGTAGCTATTGACATTCCAGAGGGTGTGTCCCACATGACTAAATTTTTGTCCAAGGAAGCAGTCACCATGATCTTACCACTTTTGTCAAATAAAATTTTAGTGATGAAGTTGTCGTGCTTCTTTACTCGATACAGTAGTCGTGCTTGGACCAAATCCCAGACAAAGATATTCTTGTAACCGCCAGATACGATTTTTTTGCCATCTGGGAAGAACACTGCAGATGTGACTGTGGAAATCTGTCCTAACCTGAATTCGTATTTTCCCGCTATGTCAATGACACGGATCTGTCCGTCAGAAGAACCAATGAGCGCCCGGCTGTCTGTGCTGTCAATAGCAACACAGGAAGCATCTGCCATAGCGGTATCTACCTGAGTCATGTCCATAGATTTGTTGTCGTTGTCAATGGTCAGAATCACCGGGTAATCAAAGAATGATGTTACAATCTAGATTATGTCAATATAAACAAGAAAATGATACGTTTCAGTAAACAAAGAATGATACCTTATATGCAAAGTATAAGTAATTTAGAAAAAACATTTTCTGACTCATTACCTATAACATTCTTTTATGCAGATAAAAAAATAATAAATTCAAAGGCCATTAAAAAATCTATCAGTAAATATTATTATGCACCTTTTTAGTTGTAACCATATACCATTGGGTACAATAATTAAATACAGATGTTTTTATTTTAAATACAGACACAATATTGGGTACTTACCTTGACTCCTGTAGATGTGAGAGTGACCACTCTAAGAGAGTACAATAATTCTATGTTAAATACAGAAACAATATTGGGTCCATACCTTGACTCCTATAGATGTGAGAGTGACCACTCTAAGAAAGTACAGTAATTCTACGTTAGATACAGAAACAATATTGGGTCCATACCTTGTCTCATGTAGATGTGAGAGTGACCACTCTAAGAGAATACAATAATTTTATGTTAAATACAGACACAATATTGGGTCCTTACCTTGACTCCTGTAGATGTGAGAGTGACCACTCTAAGAAAGTACATAATTCTATGTTAAATACAGACACAATATTGGGTCCATACCTTGTCTCCTGTAGATGTGAGTGCCACCACTCTTAAAGAGTAAGGAAACTTAAACTCCTTCAACAAAACACCTGAAACAGAATCAAAGAATCACCAATCGATTAGGTATTAGTAAACATCATGAAAAAAACACATGACATGAAAGGTTAGTTTATAGGCAGGCTTTTTTTTTAAGCCAATGATGATTTCTTATGCATAAAACTAGCTCGACTGTTTATGACTCTTAATATATCAGTATGTGACACCAGCTATTTACTGATGGTCAATACATTCAAATAGGAATGATTTCCATGTATCAGGTTACTATGCCTCCTCTAATGAACCTTTTCTTACAGCTAGATTTTTTGGTCCCACCTAATTCTATGATTTATCCATTCCTCAATCATCACTTTTCAAATATTGACAACTTATTCAAACGTTTTGAGGAGACTATAACTTTTTTATTATTTCCAACTAATTCAGTATTTCCAACTTCCCCACCTTAGATTCTATAGATTCTCCAGAAGATTAAATGATCCATATATTCTCCGACCATCATTTTTTTTAAATATTCCTACCTGATTAAATATTCTTCACATATACCTAAATACTCATTTACATAGTATTTTCCACCGAATTAAATGTCTCATATGTTCCACAGCCATATTTATTTATTTTTTTTTTTTTAGAATTCTCCTCTTATCAATGTTCCACAACCATAATTTCTTCAGCATTCAATCTGATTTAATATTTCAAACGTTGCCCTAGATTGTATACGATGGAATCATTTTAATACGTGGGATTCAGTGTTTGTGGGTAACCAACATATTACTGGTTCGTGGATAATAATTTCTTGAGTAACTCGTATATACAAAGAGACAAGTACTGGTACGTTGAAATTTATGGTTTGAAAGAAATCCTTGAGCAATGGTGAAACACGAAATCCACGAACATTGTTCCCCCATGAATAATGATGATTCCACAGTATTAAATACATCCACAGGGGATGCTTACTCCTCCATGGCACTTGATCCAACCTTTGGTGTTTGTAGAGGATCGTGTTTGCACTGCTCCAAATTTGTTTTGTTCCAATTGACCTTTGAGCTTGATTACTGTTCGTTTTCTTCATATTTCATCCATAGGATTCAATATTCCACACTTTTCCCATCCCTTTTTCTTTAGTATCCAATATTTTATTTCATATTCTGCACGTTCTCTGACCCTCATTCATTCCCCCTACTCCAATGTTCAACTCGTTTTCCAACCATCATTTCTCTAGTTCTTCCAGGTAATTCAATTTTTCACATCCTCAACCCTCATTCCTTTAATAATCCCATCCTAATTCAATGTTCCGCACTATCTCAGCCCTTGTTTCTTTAATATTCCTCATCCGATTTAATGTACCACACGATCCCAAACCATACATAATTACTTTAGTTTTCCTACCTAATTCAGCATTCAACACGTTCCCCAACTATTATTCCATGAGCATTCCCGACTGTTTTAATATTTCCCAACAATCATCTCTTTAATTTCCCCATCTGATTCAATATTCTCCAACTCCCCAACCCTTGTTTCTATAGTATTCCAAACTAAATCTATATTCTACACATTCCCTATCCATAATTTCTTACGTATTCCAATTTGATATATTTGAAAGTTCCTCAACCCTCACCATTCAGTATTTTCCATCTGATTCAATGTTCCACAGGATCTCCAACCATCATTTCTATAATTTTCCCACCTGATTCAATATTCCACAGGTTCCTCAACCTTCCTTTTTTTGTATTCCCCATCTGATTAATTTTCCACAAGTTCTCCAACCTTAACATCTTTTGTATTCTTCATCTGATTCAATGCTCCACATGTTCCTAACTAGGTACTCCACATGATTCAAAACTAGTAATCCACACATTCCTCAACCATCATCTTTGTTTCAGTTTCCCTACTTTATTCAATGACGCACAGTTTCCCAACCATCGTTTCTTTAGTAATCCCACCTGATGTACATCATAAAAGGTACCAAATCTGATACACCAGATGCTAATTTCGCTTAGCTACTGGGCTGTAGAGACCCTTGGGGACTATCAAACCACCAGCAGAGGCCTCGTCCCAGGGGTCATAATATAAATCATATAAGGTACCAATTGTGATGCACCAGATTTAATAGACAACTCATTCTCCAAACATCATACCTCTAGCACTCGCAATTGATTCAATATTTCTATTTATCCCTGACCCCCATTCCTTTACTTTTTCTAACTGATTTAATATTCTTTTCGTTCTTCAATCATTATTTCTCTATCATTCCTACATGATTCAATATTCCACAGGTTTCCCAACCATCATTCATTCTCCAACTGACTCAATGTTTGACTCGTTTCCAATCCATCATTCTTTATTTCCACCTGATTCAATACTAGTATTCACCTTCCGACTATCACTTCTGCAGTATTCCTGTCTGATTCAATATTCCATTGTTCTCAACAATCATTTCTTTAGTATCCCCATCCAATGCAATGTTCCCTACATTCCTCGACCCTTTTTTGTATATATTTTCACCTGATACAATATTTTATATATCCAACATACTCATTTCTCCACCTGATTTGATCCTCCGCACTGTCCCAAACACTCATTTCTTTAATTTTCCCTATCCAATTCAATGTTTCACATTTTACCTTTTGTGATACTTCATACATTGGTCATTCTCCTTTCTTTAGTATTTCTCACCTGACTCAATGTTCCATACACTCCCTTGGGCCTCCGTCCCTTGTGTGCCCACCACAACTACGTTGTTATTTTCTGCCATGCAGTCAATCTTAGGCATCCCATGCTTCAATTTGTGTTTAACTTCGTCTGCAAAAAATATCTTTTTAATAATTGAATGTAAATGACTGACGTGAATATAATTATAATAATATTTATATATAATAGTATAATATAGTAGTAATAATGAATAATTTTTCCTGACACCAAACATTCTGTATAATTACGTTTTTTATCCTGTCATTAACCTCTTATTTTGATTGTTTGGAAACATTAAATTGTCTCATATGGGGAAAAATACTGTATTGTAATAAATCGTCTTAAAAACGTACAGTTATCCACACTCAGAATACTAATTTCGCCTTTGTCTGTTGCCATGGTGACGTATTGCCCTGAAGACGACATCAACAGGAAGTCGACTTGGCTGCCCTCTATTTTATGGCTGTGCAGAAGTGTGTTGTTCTCAAGGTCATGAACAATTAGTTGTCCAGTTGTCGTCGCTATGAATGCTTTCTTGTCATCTCTGTCGTAATATAATTATATTCATTTAAAATAAATGCCATTCTAAGTATCTTCAGATGTTATAAATCACCATTTTAGACTGACCTGCTGATATCAAACTTCGTAGTTGTGGATTCTGTCATGACCTGTCTGTCAAAGTAGCTCCTCACTTTCTCCGGATCTGGATCTTTGCCAAATTTATCAGTGAAGTTCAAGGCAATTTTATGGATGTCCCAAATTTTAATCGTGTTATCCCTAGATACGGTCACCAACTGACATTCCTTTAAAACAACACACATCTGAAGAATAATTTGGTAGTGACCAATGAGATTGCAGTATGGTGTAGCTTCCGGTAGTGGAGTAGCCTCCGAACCTATGTACAGCACTTTGACTATGGAAGGATTCTGAATTTCCACAGTGGCCAAGAAAAGATCCTCATCACCGAACAACTGCATACTGCTTACTCCTACGTGAGGTGATTCGTAATGGGTATCCCCTGAATCTCCCATCTTTTCATATTCAGCAGCATTATCGGGGGAAGAAAAGAGTGTTCCTTTACATAAATCCCACACGCGCCATATGTGCGAGTAATTCGATCGTGTTCTGTCAACAGTTGCTAGGTATTTCTCTGATGAGTGCAAGGATACTATATTTGCTGAACCATGCTGAGAGAGATTCAATGAGTGAAGTTGCTCTCCACTGACCAAATCATTTAGACATAAGGACGAAGTATTGGGATCCAGACTTATAAGTTTGTTGTCAGAGGTAATCTGAACGGTGTCTTCCAGCCTCGCCTTTACTGTACTATGGTTTGAAATAACAGTCCCGTCCTTTTTGGTCTCTTTAGTGTACAGATGTTTTGCTGTACTAATATCATATGTGGAAACTTCCTCTCTCTCATTTACGACAACCAAAAAGTCGTCTTTATGTGAAATCCTTATCTGAAGAATGTTTTCCAAATCCAATATAAACAGCTCTGAAATGTTTGTAACAGTATCGCCTATCTGGCAGACCACCACTTTTGAAAATAAAACTGAAAGAAGAAAAAGTCAAATCAAGAAAAACATCTCTCACTTTCTGATATATTAATATCGAATGATGGAAGCCTGGAAACTGACACTGATACAGTAGAGTTACAACACAAACCGATTTGCAAGAATTGAAAGGATGCAGCAAATGACATAAAAGAATTTATTGAAATGAGCAGAGAATGTTTATGATAATGGGTTTTTTTTTTTGCATTACTGAGGTCAATTGATAAATCCGATATACCTGTGGAGTAGGCTAGGATTCTTCCTGATTTAGATACAGTTAAAGCATCTATTGGATCATATTTCAAAGGCATCTTATTCCAAGAGGACACCTCATAAAGTTCCAAAGTCGTTGGTTGTCCTAGTATGATGAATCTACAATATGAGAATATTTTCATTCAAAGTGTTCAGAATGTATAGCATATCTAGTTACAGTGTACAACAGAACTGGATTAAAATTAAAACTTCTGTTTTAAAAACGTCCAATATTTTTAAATCAAATTCAAAGGAATACATCATTGTATGATGTGTCACTTAGGAAAAATGTTGACTAACTTCTAACAAAATCTTATCACACTAAGGTTCTCCCAGCATCTACCTTTCTGCACCCCAGTCTAACATTACCTGTCTCCTCCGGCCATTTTGGTAGATTGGACCTCTGCCTTTATCTTCTGACGGGATTTAATCATTCCATAGTTCTGTAGACACATTGTATACACATAGCGCTGCTGTCCAATGCTGTATATACACTTCAGGTTAGAGTTCCTCTCATCCACACTCAGAACTTGACCATAACATCTGAACCTATCCTCTAGATAAAACAATAAACAAAGAAAAAAAAAATAACAAAGACGTTAGGTGTCAAAAATTGGAATGTTTTCAAAAATGTTGCATTTCGCAGCGAAGTAAATGTTCAAAAGTTAATTGTGTTGGGTGTATATTTGATAAGAACATGATGAGTTCCTGAATCCCTGTGATTATTCAACTGACATATCTACCCTCGTTTTTTCTGAAGACTTCAGCTGAAATGGAGAATTTTAAAACAGTTCCTGGACCCGGAGCGATCCGATTTAACGGAATAAAAGCTGCTGTATCGGAATCTCTCAGAAAGTTCTGGGCGTCTCTAACTAGCGACTGCAGACGAGGAGAGCCAGAGTAGCTGGGTCCCAGCTGGGAAATGATCTATATGGTTAAAAGGAAAAGAAATTGTCTATGATTTAATATTTAAGCCATGATGTTATAAGATGCCTTTTAACAATAAAGGTATTGTTTCTATGCTAGGATATATAGGAAATAATTAAGGTTTTCGTAATTATTCGTAAATAAATTTTAAAAAGCAAGTTGTTTAATGTTTTTGAAAGTATCGTAGCATCCTTGGATCCAGGTATGTTTTGTATCATTATACGAGGGTTGTCCCAGAAATACGCGAACTTTTTGAATATTTCAAAAACTATTCGACCAAAATAAATTAATTTTTGCACCTTGTTGGAAAATGAAATTTTTCTGACAAAATATTATAAAGTTTTAATGTCATATTCCTGTAAAAATAGCTTTTAAAGTGTGTCAAATATCGGTGCTCGGCGAACGGCAATTTTTCGAGTTTTAGAAATAGCGTTGTCAGAGAAGTTTTCTTTATTACCAGGCTATACGGAAATACAATTTAAAAAAAAAATTACCTCCATTAAATTTCTATGATCTGAAATACTCATGTGTAAAAATTCATTAATTTAGCGTCACAAATGACAAAAATATTACGTTAGATGCAAAAAACACCTTTACTTAGATATTTTCAAAAATAGTGACGTCGGGCGAGAATGCAGAGCACCAAATTATCAAGTAGTACTGTTGAGCGGAATATGTCTCCTGTCCACACGTGAAAAAGATATGTGAACGATGGAACGACACAAACATATATCTCGGACACAGATAGTTCAATAGGTACGAGGATGGCTTGACTGGTTATTCGATAAAAGAAGCATTTGGTAGACAAACAAACTGAAAAGTCAGAAGCTGGACGTCATACGTGGCGACGGTCGTATAACAGAGAGCAGTTAGGTTCACTTATGACCTGGGTTGGGAAATTGTTAAAGTTTATTAAAAGAATGAATTCCGCGATCTTTTGGAAACGCAAATTAATAGCTGAGATGGATAACTTGATAACTAAAAGAAATTAAATAGTGTCGAATTTATGCTTCCAATAAATTTTATCAGACGCATGATTCCATGATAAATTCAAAAACGCCACGAGTTACGTTTTGACGTCGTCAGTGTTGAGCCGACACTATTTTGTAAGATTCGTTTACCTGAGAGAAAAAAGTTATTTATAGAGATATTTTATTGTAATGTTTATGCATTATTCAAAAAATGTTGATTATGGTGTATGCAAATTTTTAACTTTATAGTGTTAGTGAAACAATAGATATTGAAAATGTTCGCGTTTTTCTGGGACAACCCTCGTATATTGTATGCGCCGAGTTTATCGTTTGAGTTTGGTAAGAAAGAGTCTAGTTGCTGCATTTAGGGGTAAATGCGTTCCCTAAGTGTCCTTGTTGTCTCTGTGTTGAGGTTGATATGGGTTATTTTTTCCCTGGCAATTGAAAAATGAACAAAATATCAAATCAATCGATTAATCAATCCCTCACCTCCACAGCCAGATTGTTTCGATCTTTTCGAATACTCTCTAAGCCCTTCAACAAAATTTGGTGTACAATGTCCAAGTCCTCGTACACTTGTGAAGATTCAATCTCTCCTGCACTGTTCATCATCTGCATTGCTAATCCCAACATTCGAATGGCGTTGTTCACCGAGAGTATATGCACAACACCTTGGAGAAACTCAAAGTTCAATCCGCAAAGATCCCGGAACTTCTCAAACTGATGAGACTTGATAAGATGAAAAGGTAACTCGGACAATTTGCGAATGTTATACATGTTCATGTCTCTTATATTCTGTGCGCGCACGCCTCTATCGGCGTTGGGAAATTCCCCCTTTTTCACTTTGTATAGAGTAAGTGGCTTAACTTTCTTGTACCAGATTCCCTGAAAGTAGTCTGCCATTTCTTTGTGGATTGATTCCGTTGAGTTTTCTGGTAAAAAGCGACCAGTGCAGACCTACAACCAGACATAATATAAACTGTTATCGTTCAAGAACCAGCAACTTTGTCTAAAATTAAATGCACTGTATTCTGCCAATATCGTTGCAAATACTAGTCCACTCCATTCTTATGTCTTGCTTGCAAAAGAACAACCCCGGGATGTAAACAACTAGAAAACAATTTAATTGTTTCTGAATTGATTTCCATGATACCGATATTTTATAATCTTCAACCGCCAAGAAAACTGTGAAAGTTAGCAAACCTCTCTGAACTGACGATGGAACCAACTGAGTATCTTAAACGGACCCGCCTTTCTTATGATGACGTAAGGTGTTATTTCCGTCATCATCTGCGACACAATGGAGGGCGGGACCCGGATGTGTTGGTCGTTAGGCGGGAGATGGTAAATATAAGTGTCTTGGAGAACTTCATCGGAAAGAGACAACATGTCCTCCAACTCGGAAACGCTGATTCCATCATGAGACGCTGACATGTAGGCTAAAAATATAGGAAGAAAAACAATCATTACAACTTTTCAACAGGATAGCAGTATCCTAACAACAAACATGTCCCAAAGTATTAGAATGATGAGGCAGTTTTATATTAAAAATGATTACCCATAGTTTTCTTGACAGTTAGTTCTCCATGTTTCCGTTCTAGATTCGTGAAAAATTTGTTGATAGCCATATTGATATTGTCCCCAACCGACATATCCAACATGACTGTAGATGATCGCCAGAGTGCAGCTTGATCGAGAATCATGCGCATGTACAAAGGTTGTGGACATTTCTCAAACTTGTCCAGAATGAATCTCCGCTGGATCTTTGTGATTCGCCGTCCTTTGGATTTGAGGTGGATGCTAATCATCTCATCTGCAATATCCATTGTCATGTCCGGAATTTCTACATATTGCTCGCTGCAAGGCATCTTTACTAAGATGTTCTGAAGACAACAGTGGATATTGGGAATCATCGAAACAACCACATGTACATTCATTGGAAGTTGCATTGGAAGCCAGCTCATCGTGTGTGAATCATTCAGGTTACTGAGTTGATCGATTGAATCCATTATAATAATCAAGGGACGGGAACTAGTGTCAATTTTCCAAAGTAACGAGTTGAAAAATTGACACAGAAACTGAAAGTCCTTTTCCATGTCAATATAAGGTGGGATATTGACTTTATAGAGGGCAATGATCTGTGCACACATCGACATTAGAACTTCCTGGATAGAGAAAGATAACAACGATGTTCCGAGGAAGCGGATAACACTGACAGAATTAGGAAACCAGTTTTGGGATTCTTTGGCAATTTTTGCCATCATCGCAGTCTTTCCTGTTCCTGACGTTCCAAACAGAACAATAGGGCGTGTGTAATATTTATAGGCCGGCAACTGTGTGAACATTTCTTTCATGTTGATATTGGGATCGGCATCGTTGTTTTGAAGAAATCCGCTATGGATAAACTTACAGTGAAATTTATTGAGATTTTCCTGGATTGCCTTGTACTCGTTCTCCCGCTGCTCGCTCTCTTTACAGGAGAGTTTTCCTTCAAGCTGCATTGCTAGTGAATCCCATGTGACATCATTCCGAATGTCCTCTGTTGGTTCATCCACTAGTTCCCCGGTTTTATCATAAACCAGAAACATTCTCTCCTTCACACTTTCTAAAATATCTTCTCTGGCTGCAAATTGCTGTGTTTCATTCACACAGATGTGGAGATGGTGTAAAACCTCTTTGTAGAGAGGGGTGAAATTGGTGTATTCTTTGCCGCATTGGTCTACTTGCACTTTCAACTTTAATATAATGTCTTCAATCAGGCTATTGAGGTATTGTTTATGTTGCTCATTCGTCTCATCTATTCCAATGGGTGTCCAATTCAAATGAAACTTCTTCAGTTGTGAGGGACCCACTACAGGCTGAACACGAGCTATTTTTAGTCTTTCTCGTAACTCTTCCACCTCGGAATCAATCTTGTCGTCCTTCAAATCAATGAATCTCCCTGCAATATTTAAAAACAGAAGAGGGAAATGTTTGTTACGTTTGTTATAGTATGTTCATGTTCTTACCTAAAACAAATAAATTTGATCTGAGTTACACAAATTAAGGTGTGAAGTAAGAAATGAGTAATGTGAAAGCTTGAAAGATGCATGTTTTCATTAGCGTTGATCCTGTATGAAGATTTGACAATAGACCCAGAAAATCTAACAGACCACACCCACCTGCCTTTGTGTCCTTTATGTTAATATCATCAAACTTCCGAAAATAAACAATGACCTTGTCCTTGACCGGATTCTGGTAGATCACACCCTCCTCAACTTCCGATTCCGTTACTACGGATAGAAAAAAGGTTAATAGATATCAAGATGTTGTGTTTTACGTTCGACCACAACGTATTCTAATGAAAAAAGTCTTGCAACCATTGTATGGTTTTTCCTACCATGCAACATACAAGCAGTAAGTACTTATACTTTAAGTACCACACACCTGATTTAAAGTACAGGTGTCTCGCTTCCTTGGAGATCAGACGATCAGAGTACGCCTCCTCTGCTGCGGCTCGGAACATGATGAGAAGTTTATCCTGTATCTGGTTCCACTTTTCCTTATCCTGGTGAGGATCGGAACATCAAAATCATTAATGTCTGGTGTTTAGTTTTCAACAAATTCAATTTATTCCAATGAAACAAGATTCCGGTAAAGTAAAATATCTTGAGTACTAGTATTACTGTATAATTGTAGTGATTGAATGTGTAAACCAGGTTGTCTTGAATGATCTAGTCACATAACTAGGCGTGTTATCGGGGGGTTAAATAGGGATCAGTGTGGGTCTAAAGAGTGAATGAGTGCTTTAAAATTTAATAATGGAACCTTTCAAATCAACAAGTATGTAAATTAGAGGCGTCTTTAGAATATTCAGGCATGTATGTAGAATTGTGTTAACTAAAGCTGTTATAAGAATGGTCTAAATTATGATTTAGTAATGTCTTCAGAGTAATCCAGTATTTTGAAAAGGTGTCATTTGTGTTGTCTAGGCATGTCTTCATACTTGTTATGGTTGGTTAGTTGAAGCTGTGTGTGGAATGAGTGATTGTCAATTTGTGGGTTTACTTGAGGTGTCAGTTGAATGGTTAAATGTGGAAAGCTGGATGTGACTTCGGAGTGGATGAATGTATAATCTAGAACTGTCCTCAGAAAAGTCAAAAATAACGTTAGATAAGGTTGCGACAATTCAGAAGTGAAGTGTGTTAGCAAAAGATGCGTTCCGAGACGTCGTCTGGCTATGTAACTGAGGACAGACAACTAAATTCTAACCTTGGATTGGAGAGCCTCGTTTTCATTGTCGTCATAGTGACTAAGAATTTCGTTTATTGACCTCAGGCGGTACACCGCGGGCTCTGCATTATCGTCACGTTCAAACCACTCATCCATAACCATGACGTCATATCCACGCCTCATTGCGATCCTGCGTAAAAGCTTGAATTCTGTAGCCTCCACGTAATGTGGCAGCAGACGACTTCCGTACTTATCACCAAGGAGGCACTGTACATTTATATTTAAAAATTGTCATTGTTTACAAACAATATATTCAGTAAAAAAAGCTGGTAACATAAAACAACAACTACGGAAAAACTAAAACTGTATTTCTGCAAATTATATTGCGATAGGTAGTTTGTCGGTGTGTGTTATATTTTATAATTATGTTCAATAAGTCCATGCAATTACTTTGTCGACATTTTTTTTCTAACTTAGCGTACGTTGCACATCTGATTTTATTAATTGCGCTAAGGGATCATTAACTAAATGAAGATGTTTGGTTATTTCTAAGAAGTCTTGACGGTCACTAGAGTTTCTTTACATATGACTTATACACCCCCAACACCTTATTGGTCTTGAATTCTGGTCTCAGATCCTAGCGGATTCTTCATTGCTTGTTTATTTTTACAGTCTATAAACTTTGACGGCTTAATGATCAAAGTAAAAAATAGGCCTTTTCTAAAGATACATTCCCAAATACGAGGCCACATTAATGAAAAACGAATGTATTTCCAACTAATGAGCAACGTACGTAGTCCCATCCTGAGTTTGGGGTATAAGTAATTTTCTCAAAAGCTAATTGTTGTCATTCGTACATTTTGTCCACTAAATCTATAGAAGTAAAGTTTTCACAAACACATCTAATAATCCTTTAAAGTATGACCAATTGGCTATCCAACCTAGTACCCGACCCCTAATCCCATGGCCAGAAATTTCACAATTTTCGTAAAGGCCTAACTGTTAGCTATAATCATAAAAACATTTTCCTCGGTTCTGAGAAAGAGCTGGGTTTTGCTTTAGATTTTTGGAACTGGCCCACATAATTATGACTGATTTTAGGAAATATCACATCAATTAAATATTTATACTCATGGTAAAAATGATTTGTCAGTTTTTTAATTAAAAAACTCTGTTAATCTTGCAACGACAGACATGAACTACATGGCACATTACTATTACATAACATTAGTGAAGCAAACATGCAGTGCTAAATTCTAGCACACTTATATATGTCGCTTTGTAATACATGCATACCGAATTTATTGTGGTAACCTACATGCACATATATTTACTCACATACACTACTATAATTATTTCACTCTCTACCATCGGCTCATACATTCACCTCTGTCGTTGGCTCGCGTATATCACAATGATAAGCATGAGAAATAGTGCGTTTGTTTTAATTCATTATAATTGAATGTCTGAGCTAATGATAGTCCTTAAAGATAGATATTTACTAAATAGATGTAAAACTATCAGTTTAATTTGAAATAATCCTTAAAATGTTATGTTTTTTACGTTATGTCAAAAATCTTGACGCGAGCCCATTGCAGAGGTGTCTGAGAGAGGAACGAACGACAACTCTGCATAGGAGATTGTAATTATTTTTTTATCATAAGATGATATCAACAATCAAGAAGCAATTAATAATGAAAACTGTCAAAAACAACAAACTACAATAAACATAATATTTTTTAAAACAACAAACTACAATAAACATAATATTTTTTTTTTTAGCTCAAACCACTGACTGCGAAGCATTTTATGTGCTTTAGCCCATGTTGCTGACAGGCTGAGAAAATACTATATGCGTAATGTTGACATTATTCATTACGTTAAGAAATGTTTGATATGACTTTCTATAAAAATAGGAAAAATATATAAGAAATTCTCTAAAGATCACATAGTATTATCTCTCCAGTAGATGAAACTTTCTGAGCCATGAAGCGAACACACTTTTTGTGTTGCGTGAAAACTAACTTCTCTTCTATTGATATCTGTTTTTTTTTCTTTCTTTTTTTCAGATCCTGATTACGTTTTGTTTTCGTTTAATAAACTTAAATGTTTTGTCATTTATAAAATTTTAAAAAAATATTATGATAATGGATAAATCACTCTGGCCTGATTACGTATATATGTTTGTTTAAACATGTACAAAATAAGTTAATACATATGTATAATTAAAAATGTACGAAGACATGCAATGAAAGCATATTATTTGTTGTTTGTTTAAAAATGTTTTTACCTTCATGAAACCTTTAAAAAATGAAATATTTATATAAGAATAATTCATTTATAGTTAAGCAAAAACTACCTTTACATCTGAAGAACACGTATATGAATGGGGTATATCAAACTATCAAAGAAAAGAGGACAGTTTATAATTATACACTGTCCTCTTTTCTTTGATAGTTTGATATACCCCATTCATTAATCAATTGTGTTAAATTACAGGGTTCTGAATTAAAGCACTATCTTTGCATTTTTCAAAGAATATGTTATTTAACAGATCAGAAAGAAAGGGTTTTTTTTTTTATTTTTGTGACAATGATTTTATTAACTGACCAGGAAGAAGGGTCCTTTGGAGTCCCCCCTCGCCACTCGGACAGCGTCCAGTACGATCTCCTCCGTCATGTGGTCCACCGACGCCTCGTCCCTCACCCCCCATCTCATGTCCAGAAACTAAAAATACACAAATCAGATCAATAATTCGTCCCTCACCCCCCATCTCATGTCCAGAAATAAAAATACACAAATCAGGTCAATAATTCGTCCCTCACCCCCCATCTCATGTCCAGAAACTAAAAATACACAAATCAGGTCAATAATTTGTCCCTCAACCCCCATCTCATGTCCAGAAACTAAAAATACACAAATCAGGTCAATAATTCGTCCCTCACCCCCATCTCATGTCCAGAAACTAAAAATACACAAATCAGGTCAATAATTCGTCCCTCAACCCCTATCTCATGTCCAGAAACTAAAAATACACAAATCAGGTCAATAATTCGTCCCTCACCCCATCTCATGTCCAGAAACTAAAAATACACAAATCAGGTCAATAATTCGTCCCTCACCCCCCCCCCCCCCCCATCTCATGTCCAGAAACTAAAAATACATAAATCAGGTCAATAATTCGTCCCTCACCCCCCATCTCAAGTCCAGAAACTAAAAATACACAAATCAGGTCAATAATTCGTCCCTCACCCCCCATCTCAAGTCCAGAAACTAAAAATACATAAATCAAGTCAATAATTCGTCCCTCACCCCCCATCTCATGTCCAGAAATAAAAATACACAAATCAGGTCAATAATTCGTCCCTCATCCCCCATCTCATGTCCAGAAACTAAAAATACATAAATCAGGACAATAATTCGTCCCTCACCCCCCATCTCATGTCCAGAAATAAAAATACACAAATCAGGTCAATAATTCGTCCCTCACCCCCCATCTCATGTCCAGAAACTAAATATACATAAATCAGGACAATAATTCGTCCCTCACCCCCATCTCATGTCCAGAAATAAAAATACACAAATCAGGTCAATAATTCGTCCCTCATCCCCCATCTCATGTCCAGAAACTAAAAATACACAAATCAGGTCAATAATTCGTCCCTCACCCCCCCCCCCCCATCTCATGTCCAGAAACTAAAAATACACAAATCAGGTCAATAACTCGTCCCTCGCCCCCCATCTCATGTCCAGAAACTAAAAATACACAAATCAGGTCAATAATTCGTCTCTCACCCCCCATCTCATGTCCAGAAACTAAAAATAAAAAATCAAGTCAATAATTCGTCCCTCAACCCCCATCTCATGTCCAGAAACTAAAAATACACAAATCAGGTCAATAATTCGTCCCTCACCCCCCCCCCCCCCCATCTCATGTCCAGAAACTAAAAATACACAAATCAGGACAATAATTCGTCTCTCACCCCCCATCTCATGTCCAGAAACTAAAAATACACAAATCAGGACAATAATTCGTCCCTCACCCCCATCTCATGTCCAGAAACTAAAAATAAAAATCAGGTCAATCAAATTCAGTATGGTGACTATAATTTTTTTTAAGTTGAATGAAAAATTGTATTCTTTTCTGATAAATAGTATTTTCTTCGGTCTGACAGATGCTTTTTGAAATTATAAGCAGGAAACCTATAGATTGCTGTTGAAATGATTTCATAGCAGGCTTAAATCAGAATTATCTCAATGACAGATTAGCTCATAAGATCAGCTTAAGCTTTACTAAGGTTATATTTCATTAAAATCACAATTAAAATGTCTAATTAAAAAAAAACAACTAAATTTTTTAATTCAAAAAGGGGGGGGGGGGAGAGAAAACAAAGAAAATTTAGAACCAAACCATTGGGAAATTTTTTTCTACAGATTCATTCGTAAAATAATGTAAGCATGATATAACAACTTTTAACGTTTGTATTAGTGAACTACTTTACCCGAAAGGCCAGTTTTCTCTTCAAACAATACTGATTAAGTTCAGAAGTCACTTGGTTCATTATATGATTTCTCTCTACAGACATATCTGTCAAAATAAAACAGAAATAAAAGTATTCAATGCTTGTGTCTTTTATTTCGTAAACATTGTGTAAGAAAAAAAATAATAAAAATAAATAAATAAAATAAAAATTATTGCATGCTACAAGTAGAGGTCTTCGGTATATTGAATAAATTAAGAATGTTGTCGACTTCATACCATGTACGCATTTTGCTATGAATTTTAATTAAATTGGTAATTAATGAATGAAGATGCACAGTTTCGGGTCTGGCGGAAAATATTGACTCTGAATTTAATTTTTCGTGCGCCATTATCGCGTTTTGTGAATTATATTTATGGATTAATTAAGAGTTTAGAATTTTTTCTTTAATTTGCTATTGATTCTGGATATGCGCAAGTTAAAACGTGCGAAGCTGCTCACATGGTAGCTAAGACTTTTAAATCCCAATGATATGTCAATTACATTCATATCAATGCAATTATAAGTGGATAGAACACGCATTGGGCACAAGTAAGAGAACGATCGCAAACATAAGAATTTCAAACAAACGTCAATATATTGTTAACCTTAAATAGTATGTATTTAAATTTATTTTTTGTGTATAAATATATGCTGCATGCACACATCTACACGTATTTATATATATACACGCACCTGTAAACGTTGAGCTAACAAACACAACCACATCCGTTTTCTCCTCTGGAGGTAGATTATTTAGACGTCCCTCCAGGACTTGCCGATTCAAGGCCTCCATGCCTGCCCCTGTCATTATTAAACAAACAACCGGTCAGTCATCTGGTCATGCTTGTCAATCGGACATCGTTACTAATGTCAATATACCGTTCGGGTTGTTATCACAAACTCTCGGAACTTCTTGGGCGTGTTGATTACCGGTTATTAAAAGTCGACTTCTTTGACGTACGAGTTGGAGAGATGTATCTTCGTTCGAAGTTCCTCAGTCGAAGTTTTAAGGAGACGAACTGCTCATAATATTGTAATACTGTTAAAACCATTACAAAAGCAATGTCTTCAAATGACAGGTAAATAACCGTAAAATATGGCAAATTACATTAAATGGCGATTGACTTTTGGGTAGCTTTTTATAGTCTTTTTCCTATATTCTAATTATTAAGACATTATTTTACTTTCGTTTTGAAATATAAGAGCAGATGTTCATGTATAAATTTCATTTGATGAATTTAAAGCATTTATAAAGATTTATCAAAATGAAAATGCCACAGACTATTTTGTAATTAATATGTACATATTTTGATATTGAAAAATATTTTATTTACTTTTTGTCAGCAATGGTCAGAAGAAACAGCTGACCGTCCAAAATGTGTGTAAAGCCTTAAAGTATGCCTACGAGCATAACAATGACAGGACGAAACGCAATGCCCTTAATTTCTTCTACGCCCACTCTCATCTCCTACCAGAGTCGAGAGAACTCATGAAAGGCTTCATAAAACTTCCCAGGGAATGTGTGCTGGAAGTTCTAGTTACCAACAAGATGAATCTCTCCCAGGAGGCCATATACACAGCAGTCATTCAGTGGTCCGAGTGTCAGTGTGCGCAACAGTCCAAAGATCCCACTCCAGAAAACAAGAGGGCAATTCTTGGGGATATTCTTAAGAAAATCAAATACACGAACATGTCCGTGGAATTTTTTAATAACCAGGTAGCTGCACAAAGGGTTTTGAATGTGGATGACATTATTAAGGTTTACCAGCACTTGGTAGCTCATCGCACACCAGCATCACAGTCAAACACCGTCATTATTCCAGCTTCTAGCGACTCCGATGATTCAGATGTGGAGTGGGCTGTTCCACCTGAAAATTCTACCACTTCTCATCCACTTGGACCCCCGGTGAATGCCACAACAGGTACCCTGTCTGACACAACAGACATAAATGACTCTCGGACAGTTCCACTGCCTTACTGGTTTAAGGTTCCCAGGGATAAGTACATTCTCTATCGATTTCATACAACTTTGGCAGGAAAATCATACCCTCAAAAATGCCCTGACTCGGTCACTTTCAGTGTTTCAAAAAACATAAGTTTACATGGAATTTACCTTTATGCCAGTCACCAAAACCCAGTGCAGTTTAAATTTGACTTTAAAATTTTAGAAAATGGTCAGCGTGAGGCATTTTCAGTGATTGATCAGTCAGTATTAACAAACGGAGAATCGCGAGTCTTCCTGTTGGATATTAACCCGCCTTTGGACATTCGAGCAGGAAGGAAGTATGATATGGTCTTAAACCTTGACATTCAAGGAACTACCTATTATGGAGTTGAAGGTTTACCTGAATTGCAGGAAAATGGTGTCAAATTTAAGTTTCTGCCAAACAATCATGGATTGAATGGAACTAATCATAAAGTTGGACAATTTCCCTTCTTTCTCTACCTGCCAGAGTCTTGACATTACAAAGCATTCTGTCAGGGATGTCATAATTCTGTTATTATCACAACTGTAAATAATGGACTGAACACAGCTCCAAGACTTAGTGCATGTGTACTTGCTTCTAAATTGTGTTAAGATGTTTGATTGTTATGAGAAGCAAATCAAAAACATTTAGCAACTTATTAAATGACATGAATTAAAGTTTATTCATTTTTTATCAACATAAACATGATAAACACCAAAAATTTAATAAGATTTATTATGTTAAAGATGTGGAAAAAATGGAGAATTCGTTACTTATTAAAGCTGAACATGATTCGTAAAAGGTTTTGTCAGCCATATTTCTCCTCTTTTGGCCCTATTTGTAGAGCGCCTATTTAAGCTGTTCACTTGGTCATGGTACAATTTCACACATTTTAAAGGTTTCACTTGTGTGGATGTACCCTACATTGCCTTTGTATAATGTAAAATACCTGCTAGAGACAAAGGTAGCTACACTGAACTGTGTTCTTCCATGAGAAGAGAAAATGTTAGCTAAGAAATATGACATTAGTAGCACAGGTCAGTGCAGTACAAGCAAAACAAATTCATGTAAAATATAACAAAATGTAAAGAAAAGCAATACCAGCTACATGTATGTGTCATTCATTCCATGGATGATACCAAACAACAATAAGGCGTAGTGAATGCGAAGGGTATACCCTAATGCCGATATTGGAGATGGGAAAACTGATATGGATTATGGCTATTTATGAGTCATGTTCAGATTTAAATGCAGATTTGAGGAAGAAATTGGTTACTCCTTATATGTTTAGTGACCTAATTATTCAGTGAGATTCCAAACTTATAAAAAAACAAAAACACAGGAAGTCTGCTAAAAATTTCCCACACGAATGCTTGGTGAAATGTTCATTCAGTTTCTCTGTCTCATGTTCTGATTATTCAATATTTTTTGTACCTTTACTGCTGAATATACTAAAATAATAATAATAATAAAATAAGAATGATATAAAAATGCTGGTTTCTTTACTGTACATAATACCACATAGAGTTTTGTACATTGTATTTACAATTGACAACAGAATGGCCAACACAACAAACATGATGGTAACAGATTGCACGTTTTGTGATATTAACAAACAAAATCAAGGGGTATCTAGGCTCCATACTTTTAAACCTCTTCAGGAAAAAAAAAGAAAGATGAATTCGCTGAACTGTGCAATTTTAAAATTTTGATGCACATCACAAAAAAAATTCCTTGAAAGTCTTTATAAACAAATCATTTTATGCCAATAGAAAAAAGTTGATGCCTCCCATAAAACTTACATAAAAAACATTTCATGAAACCAAAAACTAAAAGTGATATTTGCAGATGTTCAGTGAACATTTTTGCATCAGAAAGCATTAGTACATGAACCAAACCTTTTAATAAAGTAGATATCACTGGATGCCCCTTAACTTATCATCTCTTTAACAATATTACATGTAAAAAGCACAGGTATCATGTTTATGTACATATATATACAGTGTTCTATACCAGAACCATAGCTCAACAGAGTGATATCTCAATAAATATTTTTTTATTTGTTTTCAAAATACAAATAACTTTCAACATTCACTCACGTTTTTGACAACTGAAACAAGAGGCCCAAGGGCCTTAACGGTCACCTGAGTATAATACAACAATTTAGAGAATCCATAGAGTATAAAATGAACTGAAAAGTGAAGCTTTGTTGCCCAAAAGCAAGAAAAATAGGGTGATCAGGTTCAACATAATAATTAGTCTAGTGTTCATTAACAGTTCATAAATTAGGTTCTAATCTGTTCCCCATTTATCACTATCACCATACAGTATATTAACAAACTATCAATGCTTCTGTACTATTTTAATTCCTTGTTGAAATCTCTTACATTGGACTCTCTTGGTCTTTGATGAACATTGAATAAGACAAGTTATTTTTGTCTCATTTTTATTTATCTATTACTTACAAGTCTATCTGATCATTAAAACTATGAAAGTACTTTTTGTATTATACAATAAAAAATCTTGCAAAATTCTCTTATTCTATTAACCTTTCAAGTACATTATTTACAGTGACTAATTATCAAAAGTAAATGGCAAAGGGGAATAACTCCCCTCAGTAGAATACAAATTAATAGAGCCCTGGCCAGGACCAGAACACTTGACAAAATGGCCCAGATGTTCAAAAATATTTATTAAAACTTTTACTCTTTTTGCCTCTGATATGCCCAGGTGCAGAGAAGATTTTCAAAGAAATAATGCAGTTTTTACTACAGATTCACTACATTATCAATAAAGCCCCCCAGCCCCCCCCCCCCCCCCCCCACCTCCCATCCCCACCGAGAAACATCAGAGTCTCTCACCCTGGGACCAGAAGTTTATTCATCATACATGTAAGTAATCACTTTGTTTATCTGATTAACACTAAGGAGCAGACAGGATTATTTAACAGAATTAATGCATTTTCACTACATTATCAAGAGCCCCACCCTTACACCAGCACATCTGACCCAGGGGTCATGCAATTCACTACTCTGGAAGAAGTAATCATGCTCATCATAACTATACACTTAGCTTCTTTGCTTTTTAACCAGAAGCAGAAAAGAATATTTTTAGAGAAATTTTGCTTTTTCACTATATAATCAATAGAGCCCCCCCCCCTTTTCACCAGAACCCTTGACCCTCTGGCCATGAAATTCACAATTTTGGAAGGGGCATACTTGCGTATCATAACAATGTACTAATAGTTTGTTTAAATAATACCCAGGTGCAGAGAAGAAGATTTTTAAAGAAATAATTCACCTTCACTATAGGATATATATGGCCCCGCCCTAGCACCAGAACCCCTGTACCTGGGGCCATGAATTTCATAATTTGGAAGAAGCATCCTTGCTTATCATAACAATGTACTTAATTTGTTTAAATGATACCCAGGAGTAGAGAAGATTTTTAAAGCATTAATGCATTTTCACTATATAATAAATAGAGCCCCACCCTAACACCAGAACCCCTGATCCAGGGTCCATGAAATTCACAATTTTGGAAGAGGCATCCTTACTCATCATAACTATGTATTTAATTTGTTTAAATAATACCCAGGAGTAGAGAAGATTTTTAAAGCATTAATGCATTTTCACTATATGATTTATATAGCCCAGCCCTAGCACCAGAACTCTTGACCCTGGGGCCATGAATTTCACAATTTTGGTAGAGTCACCCTTGCTTATCATAACTATGTATTCAATTTGTTTCAATAATACCCAGGAGTAGAGAAGAAGATTTTCAAAGAAATAATGCACTTTCACTATATGATTTATATAGCCCTGCCCTAACACCAGAACCCCTGCCCCTGGGGCTATGAATTTCACAATTTTGGTAGAGTCACTCTTGCTTATCATAACTATGTATTCAATTTGTTTAAATGATACCCAGGAGTAGAGAAGAAGATTTTCAAAGAAATAATGCACTTTCACTATATGACCTATACAGCCCCGCCCTAGCACCAGAACCCCTGACCCTGGGGCCATGAATTTCACAATTTTGAAAGAGGCATCCTTGATTATCATAACTATGTATTTAATATGTTTCAATAATACCCATGAGTAGAGAAGAAGATTTTCAAAGGATTAATGCATTTTCACTATATATTCAATAGAGCCCCACCCTAACACCAGAACCCCTGACCCAGGGGCCATAAAATTCACAATTTTGAAAGAGGCACTCTTGCTCATCATAACTATGTACTTAGTTACTGAATTTAATACCCAGGAGCAGAGAAGAAGATTTTCAAAGGATTAATGCATTGTCACTATATAATCAATAGAGCCCCGCCCTAACACCAGAACCCCTGACCCAGGGGCCATGAATTTCACAATTTTGGAAGAGGCACTCTTGCTCATCCTAACTATGTACTTAGTTAGTTTATTTAATACCCAGGAGCAGAGAAGAAGATTTTCAATGAATTAATGCATTTTCACTATATAATCAATAGAGCCACGCCCTAACACCAGAACCCCTGACCCTGGGGTCATGAATTTCACAATTTCGAAAGAGGCACTCTTACTCATTATAACTATATACTTAGTTAGTTTATTTAATACCCAGGAGCAGAGAAGAAGATTTTCAATGAATTAATGCATTTTCACTATATGATCAATAGAGCCCCACCCTAACACCAGAACCCCTGCCCCTGGGGCCATGAATTTCACAATTTTGGTAGAGGTACTCTTACTCATCATTACTATATACTTAGTTAGTTTATTTAATACCCAGGAGCAGAGAAGAAGATTTCCAAAGAACTAATGCATTTTCACTATATAATCAATAGAGCCCCACCCTAACACCAGAACTCCTGCCCCTGGGGCCATGAATTTCACAATTTTGGAAGAGTCACTCTTACTCATCATAACTATATACTTAGTTTATTTAATACCCAGGAGCAGAGAAGAAGATTTTCAAAGAAATAATGCACTTTCACTATATGATCTATATAGCCCCGCCCTAACACCAGAACCCCTGACCCTGGGGCCATGAATTTCACAATTTTGGTAGAGGACTCAATGCTTATCACAATGATGCCAACAGTTTGACTGCTTGATGTCCAGGAGTAAAGAAGAAGATTTTTAAAGATTGCATTAATTTTGGTGGTTTTAGCCCCACCCCTCAGGCCCCAGGGGGGCAGGGACCATGAAATTCACAATTTTTGTTCCCCTTCACCCATAGATGCTATATGCCAAATTTAGTTGAAATTGGTTGAGCGGTTTCAGAGAAGAAGCTAAAAATGTTCAAATGTTAACGCACATCGCACGACGCACGCCGACGGACAAAAACGGATAGCAATAGGTCACCTGAGTGACTCAGGTGACCTAATAAAATCAAAATCTGTGATTGAATAAACTTTACTGTTTAATTTGGATTGGAGGATATTTGGTATTTTAGTCCTGTTTTATTTAAAGATTGAATAATGCAATTTAAAAAGTGTATTTAGATTTCTTTCAATAGGAATATTTCATAACTTCTGTTAAGATCATGCAGTCACAATATTAACAAACTCTTTGCCATCATTTTTTCACTGTACAATTCTTCACAATCTAGTTTGATTTTTCCCATTTTAGCAAGGAAAAAGCATTAAAAGCTAATTTAATACAAAAATACATTAAATATAGAAAAATTAATTTTGTGTTTTCAATGAATTTGGTCCTGCAATTCCTCTCTAAACATGAAAGTCCATACCACACTACCTTAAGTATCGGCACTTGACTGTCTCTTTCAAATATGAATATTTCATTAATACATTGACAAACAAACCAATGAGAAGTATTTTACATGCAACCTTCATAATTTTCTTTAACTGTTTAAGCATTTTCACAAATTCAAATGACTTCTTGGGAACTGATGATATTTAAACATTTTAACAGAGATCAGAATATCAGTACACTATGAACATACTTATTTTAGCCGTAATCATATTTTAGCAGCTTTGGTTTTGCTTCTTGTCCATCTATTTATGTATACACTAATGTATGATTAAAACTTAAACATATCGTAGTAAAGACTTTAGTGTGTCTATTATATGATAGAAAGATGAAGATTGCCCTAAATTTTGAGTGCACTTATTTACATATCTTAACAGTATGTAATAGTGAATTCATATTACACAAAGGTCAGACAAACAAAACTATACACAATTCCTTACAATCTTTGGTGATGACAATGCTGAAGTGTTATCTATGTGTGCATTATTCTAGATTAATAACATAATTATTTATAAATTAATGACAATTTTTTGGATGATCTTATTCCACATGGCTGTGTGTTAAGTACTGGCACTGTATCATACTATACCTCATCACAATGTACCCCCCCCCCCTTTTCCATACCCATCTCCAATTCCTGAATTTAAAAAAAATTAATATAAGTTGTGATTTATGCTAAAAACAAAGATTTTTCTTGAACTGAACTTGAACTTTCTTGAACTGATCTTGTAACTATAACCTACTTGTGTGCGACAGTATAAAAATTCAGTGTCTGAAATTTATGAGACATATTGAATCTTGTACTTGTTACTGTAAAATTAAAAATGACAGATGCTTAATGCTAAATGTGAGCAAACTTCCTGAAGAAACAGACAGACAGACAGCTAGACAGACACACTGATTATGTAGGGCACCTGCTAAAACTCTGTATGTCCATATAAAGCACTTGAATTAAAATAAAAATTATAATTTAAAAATTTTCTTTACATGTAACGAGTAAATATGTTTTTACAATGCCTTATATTGACATTTCTTACTTGAATGTGCATTTTATTATAAATGCAATCTCAAGAGGGTGTGTTAAACAATATGATTAACAGATATTCTAAGAAAAACAATGCATTCTAATTTACAGATGATATCATATGAATGACTACATTATGTACAAAAATATGGAGATTCCCCATGATGTATAGAACTTTATCCATTTCTGAAAGTTTTTCTAGGTCTCTAATACCTTACTTTAACAAATGTTAAACAACATATCACTTATAGAAATGATATTTACAAAGAATGTACATAAAATAACTAAGAGACCACAATTCTTTCAAGAAATAAGCTTTCCCTAAAAAATCCCACCCATAAAAAAAAACTTCTTGTGAACAAGGAAATCTTTTACATGATGTGATTTATACATGACTATGTACACTGTGATATTTATGTTCGATTTGTCATAAGTGAGTCTGCCTTATGGGCTGAAAACCAGAACTTGGACTCCCTGATATCGATATCTGATCGGAAATGTCAGCTGAGTGATCAGTGATATCAGACGTCTCTGAATCTGTCGTCTGCATGTCGTTAGAGTTGTCTTTGAGGGGCATGAAGCCATACATGTGGTGGGGTGGGGGGTGAGGAATCTCTGACACATTCCCACTCCGGGGTACAAGCTGTTCCGGACTTCCATCCTCTAAACTACTCGAAGATATACTGCTGCAACAAAGGAAACTTATCTGATCACACTTTCTATATTTACATGTATATATTTTATTTTTTATTATACTTTTATAAATTGTCTTGATAGAGAATATGATATACTGCTGTAACAAATGAAACCCGGCTAATCATGCTTTCCAAATTTATTCTTATACTTTTATAAATTGTCTTGAAAGAGGATATCAGGTATACTGCTATAACAAAAGACATTTGTCTAATCACACTTTCTACTTTCTTTAACATCTTTTAAGGGGAAGAAGGGCCTTTAGCTGAAAAAATACTTGTCATTCAATTTTTTTTTTATATTTTGTATATTTCTAATTAAGTATGTCCTACATATCTTAAAGCAGTTATATCATTAGGTTTCTTACCTTATTTTAGAGATATTGATTGACAATTATTATGCCCTACAGTATGTAAGTGGAGTTTTAATTCTCCATGTTGCCGGGCTCATTACTCTGTTCCATAATTGGATTTTTAAAGCATATATAAAAAATATGTAAGTGAACATGTATCTTTTAAAATATTTCAGAGTATGAATTGGGTTTAAAATTCGAAAAGGCAAGTTTCATCTATCACACTGCATCTGGATAGGGAAAATTACGAACTTTTTAAGACAACTTAAACAACAAAAAACGTAATTAACAAAAAATCCTATCATTCAATATTTTTAAATTTACGTTGAAATGCAAGTCCTTCAAATTATAGATTAACTGTAAAAATTTCGAATGATGAAGCTGACCTCAATATTGCACAGGACATCGTTGAAGACGACATAAGCAGGACAAAAACTTGTCATGTTTACATTTCTCGAGTACGGGAAAAAACAACTATGACGTCACATGTACGCTAAATAAGCGAAATAAGATATACCTACATAAGATTTCCGTCATCGGCCATGCAAAAATAATTTTTATGTTCCCCGTTTCTCAAAATACTTCATCATATACTGATTATGACCTGTTTTTACATAATAATACCGCCCTTGTATTCACCGAGTATGATCTTGCTGTACTAGCAGATCGTGTATGACGTCACCGACTTGTTGGACGCGCAGTTTAAAGAAACAGAGGAGTGGATCAATCTTTTTTCATAATTTGATAATGTTTACAAGAATGTTTAACTTTTTATTTTTTTAATATAAGATGGTAATTAAAGAAAAAAAATTGTCAAAATTTTTTAGAAGAACTGATGCTTTACACGTTTTGCACTTATATAAATGGAGACTATGACGTAGTTTAACAAAGTCATGTGACCATGTGTCCTTCATCCCCTTAAAACACTTAAAAAAGAATATCAGGACCATGAATGTATGATTTTTATGTATTTGGAGTTTTACATATTTGCTAAAGGAAGGGCAATAACTGGATGATTCATATGTGGTGAGCTTGGGAAAAAATTACCTGTATGCATAAGGATGGACCAAATTGTGTGATATCTTATGTCATTTGATGCTAGACATAATCAATATCTGGGGGGGGGGGGGTTTATATAGTTTATTACCTGTGTAAAGCAGCTAGAGGGTTGGGTATTATAATCCAGTCTGCAGTATTACAGGTAGATCCAAAACAAAGGTGAGGATGGGATTTACTAGTACATTCAAAGGGAGGACAGATTTAGTAAGGAGTAATGAGCTCAAGGCTAAGGAGCATTACTATATATACTGTGTGTTAGAGGATAAGCAATAATTCAGTCCAGTTCCCGTGCTAAAGTTCAGTTAGTTTTATATGTGTGTGTGAAAGCCTTAGACATGTCTTCTATTTGAGAGCACTGTTGAGTTAAAGTGGGGTCAATTTATCTGTGTGCTAGAGGATAGGCCATGATCTAGTATGGAGTAACAAGTCCAGGGCTGAATATGAAAAGGGGGGATAAAATTTACCTGTGTGCTAGAGGATGGGCCATGATGCGGTCCGGGGTACTGGGTCCTGTATGAAATCTCTTGGGAGGACTGAGATAACTTTCCATGTCTGTATCCACTGGAGATTTAAAGAAAAAGTTTTTAACATTATTACAGAACTCAAACAAGGCTGATTAAATTCATCCATAATACAACAAAGTAATTTGTGAGATACAATGTGCATATATTTGAATATAAGATTTTCTACATAAATACTCAGTAAATATTTTCAACAAAAACAGGGTCCTAACATTTTACAGCTGTACAATAAATTTAATATTCAAAAATAATTTATCATGCATTACAGAGTGTACACACATTGTTATTTTGCCCTGAAATTCTTATTTCCAAATTCTTCATGGTACAGTATTTTCAGAAAGTAGAATTTAAGTGCTACTCACATTTTCTTTTCCCCACTGGACTTGGTCGTACAGCTATAGGACTTAAACTTCTAAAAAGATAAGTTAACAAGTAGTATAGGATACTTTCACAAACCAATCTCAAAGTAATGGCAAGTTTTATTAAAACTGCTATGGAGGGCCTCCAGAAATCTTTAATACCTCATGAATAATTTTCTGGTAGGACTAGGGCTAAGACTTGGGGAGAAGGAGTTACTTTTGAATGAAATCTTACCTCATGAATGACTTTCTGGTAGGACTAGGACTAGGACTTGGGGTGAACTGAGATCTTACCTCATGAATGACTTTCTGGTAGGACTAGGACTTGGACTTGGGGTGAAGGAGTTACTTTTGAATGAGATCTTACCTCATGAATGACTTTCTGGTAGGACTAGGGCTAGGACTTGGGGTAAAGGAGTTACTCTTGACTGGCATCTGCATAGATGGTGAAAAACATTGCTACAAGAGAAGGTAACTCTGTAACATTGTAAAAATTTTCATAGTCATTAATGGCATATTACTGAACTAACAATTATAGTATCAAAGTTGATTTTAAAAACAGTTTTTTAAAGTCACAATTTTAAAGCCAACTGTTTTTAGTAAAGCACCTTTAAATGTAATTCCAGTTTCATTCAAATGTTTTAAATTTAAAAATATCAATATAAACCTGGTTATCTCAAGCTAAATAGGACCGAGAAAAAACTTTGAGATATTTGAGGATTTGAGATATCCATTGTAAACATAAAGATTAATGGTTGAGATTTCCAAATCACTTCGACATATCCTTGGTATTCGAGATGTCAGTGTTCAAGATACCAAAGTTTAACTGTACATGTTTTCATGAACCTACTTTTCGGTTTCCAACCCTTGTAGGAGAGGGGGTGCCCACAAGCATGGTGGGCTGGGGAAACACATTGATGTGGAGAGACTCGCTGAATGACCGCGGGCGCCTGTGAGGGTCAGGCTGCATGGCTTCATGGGAGTCCTCCTGGAAAAATGAAGAACTGGTCAAAATATTTGGCCAAATATACTTCATTCAACAACATATTCACAAAAATATTGCTGTTTGTTAAACACCATAGTAATATACATGTACCAGTATTTAAATATATGTATGCATGTACATCACATGTAGTTTAATTTGCTCATTTTCAATAATTTAAGGAAACCATGGAGGCCTTATTAAACATGTTGAAAGAAATATTTCTATAAATTCATCTAAAATAGTTGATTTGTTTATGCTATTTGGTAGATACACGAATATGAAAACATCCCACTATATAAAGATACAAAATTGAAGAATTTGTTGATCTACATGATAATAATTATTACAGCATTTAAAGTAGTGATTCTGAGTTATCTACCACTTTAGCATGTTAAGATTTCCAAACTTTGACTGATAAAAATGAGAGATGTCATCTGAAGATAAAGTACAGATTGCTCAATCGGATTTACATAGAGTGCCTGCTCTAGAGTTGCTGAGTAAGGAGTTCATCCTTACACCCCAGGTTCGAATCCCACTGTGGGATGTGCAGACCGGTCCTTTGGATGAGACCGTATAAACCAAGGTCCCGTGTTGCAGTAGGTGCTGGCACAAAAAAGATCCCTCACTGCTTAATGGCCCGGAGTGTCGAGTATAGGCCAAAAATTTGCAGCCCTCCACCGGCAAGTGGTGGTGTCTCCATATGATTGAAAAATTCTTGAGAGGGACGTTAAATAACAAACAAACAAATTTAATATATAAATCACATTTGTAAATATAGTTTAGGTACTGTTTAATGTATAATAATCATATATATTGCTTAAAAGGACTCTAATTTGGAATAAATAAATCTATCATGTATCACCTGAAGGAATGTTAACAAAATTACGTACCAGAGAGAAATCCTGCCAGGAGCTAGACATCTTAATGGCTGAACTCACGTCTCTGGGGGAAAAATTAAATTTTAATTAATCAATATAGCATATTTCACAAATGGCTACAAAATTCTCTAGATATACATTTAATACATCTACATGTAGCATAAATTTACAAATGGTGATGCCAAAAAAGTATCAAAAGAAAAAAATAGAAAAATGAAGTATACATAGTTGTCCCTAAGACCCAGGGGCTGGGGAATTTCCCTGCCCATAATGAAGTAATCCCACGGTTACTTTGGTACAATGTATGTATTCCTCCTCACTCCCCTGTAAGAGAGGAACCCCAGATCCCCTTCTACTCTTATAATGTCCCCTGCTATTTAAATTCTTAGGGACAACCCTGGTGTGGCACAGACTTACAAATGGCGAAGCCAAAAAAAGTATCAAAAGAAAAAAATAGAAAAATGAAGTTTACATAGATTTTGACATTGAATCCCTCATGAGCTTGAATTACATGAATTATACAATCAATTATCATTAGAACTGAGGCCTCTGATGCTCTCTATGATTTTTCATTACTACAAATAAAGATACCATAATGACACTAGCAAAACTCCAATACACAATAATTGTATACCAGATCTGTAGATTTGGTATAGAATTTTCTGTAAGATACATTAAATTTAATGACTATGTCTTCAAAATTTGATCGTTGCGCAGTCCAAGTATTTGCAATAGATTAACACATACAATTGTACGCTTTTGAAATAAATCAGGTCCTTTTTCAATAGATTCAGATGACCAGTATATCTTTAATATAATGTGCTATATTATTTTTGATCAATCTTGTATTTTTGCATTTATTTTTAATTAAGATGACCTGGATACAAGGACAGGCACTTCGAAACAAAACGATTAAAAAGCAAACTTAATAATTAATGGTACCTTTCATGTTCTTTTTCCTTCTCAACTATGTGAATTTCTTCGTCTTTCAATCGATTAACTCTATCTGGGATTTTTACGGGAGTCTACAAATAAATATCAATACATGTATCACAGAAACACTGCAATATCTTCACTTCAAGAATGTATAAAGCAGCAATATGCCATTGCACCTTGAGAACGTTAAATTAATGACCTGCTAATTTGTCATGAGTGTTTCACTATTTGTCATTACATGTAAAACTTAAGTAATTTTTTGTAAGTTCTTTGAGAAATCCTCTGGGTTTTACACAAAAATAAAATTTTTCAAGATTTTACAATTAAATAAAGAAAGAGAGAGGGGAAAGATTATATTTCACAAAAAAGAAAGAGAGGAAACAAAGTTACACAGCTATAAAAAGTTTATATGGGAAAAAAATGTATATAATGATCTGAGTCTGTATCTTATCAACAAAACTGTATATGTCCATCATTTGTTTAACTCAAAGGGAATGAAAAATGTTCCTGCTAGCTGTACTATATGTATGGACAAAAAACTTCAACAACGAAGTTATCTCACACTTGGTCCACATTGGTTCAGAGACATAGAACTGGAACTGAATCTGCGCAGCCTCGAGCATTCTGACACCTTGAACGTGCTGGTTGGAGGACTGTAATGAAAAATTAAATCATCCAAAATATCCTGCAAAATTCTCTTCCCACCTCAGACAAGAATATTCTTTCAAAATGCACAGCAATTTCTACATGAAAAAGACCCATAAACTTCGAAAAAAATGTTCTTGACCATGACCATATTAACTTATGTGTGCTGAAATACATTGCAAAAACATAATTTTCATTGACATTACAGTATTTGTATTACTTTAACCTTAATTTTCATTTTTCATAAGAAAAAAAAATTCTCCCTTTAAAATTTAAGTGTGACTGATGTTTGTCATTTCCAACATTTCATACCTATCCAAACACGAAATTCTTTAGGAAGTAGAAAATCAAAACATCAGATATATATGAGAATATAAGCATTATGGTGAGCCATGCATTATAAGAAAAAAATAAAACGACAATAACATACCTAATTTCTGGTTGAGAGACCAAAACATTGATCATAGGCGCGCTATTTGACCGTTTCAGAGAGCCACCACTAGACGTGGGGGGCTGGTTGTTAGAGGGGCCTGGTGGTGGGTCTACTTCCATGCTGTGTTCACGTTGCAAAGAAGCCATTGTTAATCGTGGAGAAGAGAGAGACAAAAATCAGCTGTTTATGGAAAGATGCCCATATGACGTATGGCTTTGCAACCACTGTTGTTTACAATCAAAGAAGGGAATAATACCAAAACACTTTTCTACATCTTGATCAACTAAATCTGTTTCACATTCTTCAGTGCGATAAGAAATGTATAAATGCAGCTAAAGTTAATCCATAATTCCCCATCTTGTCCGTTTTGCGGCTGTACTGCACGCTCCAGTTAATAATTATTCAAGCATGAAAGAACTTTAACTGATGTATCCTGAATTGTCATTGGCTAGTTGCATGAACATTCAATGGTTTTCAGATGTTTTTTTCTTTTAAATTATTGCCTTTATTGTGTTTAAAATCAATTGATTTTGTATTGAAATAAGTTATCTTTTTACTTTTTAAGAAATGAAATGTAATTATTCAGGAAATCATGAAATATACTGATTTAATTATTGAAACGGAAGTTTACTCTTCGACCAATGAAAACAACTGTTTTTTAAGTAATAGTCAAAGTAGGTCGTTCAGTTTTTATTCCTAGGAAGTTACTTATAGATGACCCGATAGTACCGAAAAAAAGATTTGATTTCTTTTTAAATAAAATGATAAAGGTAATCTTTAACCTCAACTTTGACTACATGAGCAGTTATCAGAAAATATTTACTTATCACGAGACTGTCTGTTTACTAATTAAACGACGTACAATACTCTTTTATTAATATACGATAAAGTACTTAAAAATCCAAAAAAAAAAAAAAAAAAAAAACCAAACAAACAAACAAACAAAAACTTGACGTATTCTCCAAGAATTTTTTTTTTCCATATATCATACATGTATATAGAAAAAAGATACCTTTTCGAAAGGTAATTAGTTTGATGCAATAGAATTTTTTTTAACTTCACCAAACATGTTGGCATACAGTCACACAAAGCATAATATAAAGAAAAGACAAAGAAGTGTAAATCAATCATATAAAATGTATGTAAGGCAGGTACGTAGCAACAGGGGGGAGGAAGGGGGGGAGGGGAGGCTGAAAGAAGTTCGAACTTTATAGCACTCATGCAGATGTAATATGTTATATTCGGGAATTTTTTTTTTTTTACAGAAATATTATGTAAATCAAAATATGATAAAATTCTGTAATTTGATGACAAATACTGATCCAGCATTCTTAAGAAAATTGTGTATATTCATCACCAAAATTTTTGACACTGTCAGTCCTCCTCAACTGAAGTCAACTCTGCTCTTCCATAATTGCTGAAAATATGTATATATGTATCTCTTGTTCCATTTCTATGCTTTTTTGAGAGAATAATTAAATGAATGAATGATAAAAATTCACATAATTTCTTAGCTTGGACAACACAAAAAGGGCTACGTAATTCTTTACAATGGTTTTAATTCTTTCGCAATATTAAAATTGTCAGATATATTGCAAATATCTGGATAATATTTTCCTCTTATATCATTGTATACAAGGAGCAATCTTAGCTGAAATGTAATTCATCCTTTACATCTTTACAAAAATGACAAAACCTAGAATCTCTCGGCATGCAAGGTTTCTGTTATCTCCGACGAGTGTGCAGGAATACTAAGCTTTGTTAAGTATAAACACACAATTTTATGGATAGGTCATTTTAGATATTCCTGTAATTCATGGCCATTCTTGCCTTCACTTAAAAATCTCAGTTAACCTGACTTTGTAAGTTCAATGTGTTGAAGTTGCATATTTATATTATCAGTATGAAATTTGTGTTAACAGTTACTGAATGCAGAATTTGTTTTATCTAATGATGTCAGTTTTAGTTCACCTTTCAATAAATGTAATTTTGTCTTTTGCCAGTTATCCATACAGCCAATAATGAAAATATATAAGCATCATCTATAATTTAGCTGTTTTGAGAATTTCATTAATTGTAGCATTATTCCTAGTGTTAAGACCATTTAATATCTCGTATTGTTAATCTTTCATATTAAAGCTGAACACGACTCATAAATAGGCATACACCATATTCGATTTATACTATCTACGACATTAGCACCGGGATAAACCCTTCGAATTCGTTAGACCTGCCTGGTTTATCGTCAAGGGTGTCGGCGTGGAATGTCGACACGTGTCAGGCCCGTAGGAAGCAATTTCAGTTGGGGGGGGGGGGGCACAGCCATACATTTTCAGTTGCATCTACCAAAAATTTCTTGACAAGCAAAAAAAAAAAAAAAAAAAAAAGGTTGTCAGATGTTTTTATTGAGGGGGCACAAGCATATAGTATATCTGTTTTCTATGGTAATCTATATCTATATATCGGCAAAATTATGGGGAGGGGGGCACGGCCCCCCGTGCCCCCCCCCCCCGGTTCCTACGGCCATGCGTGTTCGTGCTTGTTATCTTGCATTGCCTTTGTTTATTCATTATATTGCAATAACGTGTATTTGTGTTTGTTTGTATACTGCACTAACCTGTGCAACTGTTGTAAGTTTCTTTCAATTGGTATCTTACTCTTCCTGCAGTAGAAGAAGTACAGTTATTTTTGTCGCTGCCGAGTGCTGTGTAGCATGCGTCCGTCTACACCGGTGACAACTGATTACAACTGATTACACTGAACAGTGACTTACTGAGCGGCTTATACAGTGGCCCTCAGATATAGCGGGTGAATAATCAAATATGGCAGACAATTTCCATTTACGAATCGTGTTCAGCTTTAGATAGTCAAATTTGATTGGTTTAAAAACATTTGTTAAAAAGTGCTGTTACCCTATCGCGTGCGTAAACCTCGCCATCCTGGTAACATTACATAGCAACGGTTAATAATGCATGACGACGGGTAACAGTATAAAAATTGTGTTTATTTAGGGTAACATGTGAAATTGTTATCCCTTGAAAACCATTGCTGACGTCAGCCTCGCCTAAAAACATACTTGTAATATTTTTATAATATTTAAACTTAGCAATAAGTAAACAGGGAAAACTCTTATAATCTTACAAACTCTTACAATTTTTAAAACGAAGCAAGTTATTGATAAATAAGTTGATGAAACAAGAGTATAAACCGTCTCGTTTAACGTCATAATTTCGCAAGTTCTATGGTCGATACAATGACCTTGTCAGCAAATACAATCTATCATTAAGTCAAATGCTTACTGACGTTTTTCGAACAAATTGCTAGGTCTTTATTCACACACTGAATTGACTACGGATTTTTCCGTTTTTCCCAATCATGACAAGGAACACACGGCGGGTTGACCGGTCGGAAGGAAATGTTTACTCCTCTATGGCACCTGATCCCACCTCTTATGTGTTAGAGGCCAGTGTTTGCTCTGCTCCTGATTTGTATTGTTTGAATGGACTTTTGAGCTTGTATACTGTTCGTTATCGCCATGTCGAGTTGAAGGCCACAGCAAGTGTTTTCTTCTTCTCATCTAGAAGTTTTTGTACTAACTTATTACAAAACTTGTGATTTTCAATTTTCTAAAGCTCTTAAGAGCTTTTATAGAATCCATCTGATTAACACTACTTCTATAATATGCTATACAGTGCAGGAAACTAATTTTGTTACAGCATCGATGCTGATTTGAATGCTTCCTTTGCTTGCTGATTTGAATGCTTCCTTTGCTTGCTGATTTAATGCTAGTAATCCTTATCCTGATGCTGTTTTATAATTAGGTCAATGCTACCGGAAGTAGCATCATGCTACCGGAAGTAGATAATGAATTTCAGCATTACCGTTTAAAGCAATAAAAGTGCCTTTTACAATTATTTGATCATAATATCTCACTATGTATCAATAATGTGAATACTTTAACCAATATTCTTTCTTTCTTTTTTAATTTTTTACTGAATTAAAACTCATTGATTTTCTGATGCTAGTAGGATAATGCTGATTTTATTTAGATCAATGCTGGTTTTATCCTTTGCTTGCTGATGCTGATCCTGGTAATGCTGTTTTTTAAATGCTGATGCTGATGCTAGCTCGATCCTGATGCTACTAATGCTTATGCTGATGCTGGTTTATGTAACAAAATTAGTTCCCTGCACTGTAGCACAGTTCGTCTGGTTTGAGGTTTCTCTTTTAAATCAGTTATAGTAACTATTTATGTGAAAAGTAAAGATAGAGACTTTAGCATTTTGTAAGGATTTTTATGAAGTTTAGGCATTCAGTACAGGTAGGGTAGATCAAACTCACCTTCATTTATTGGAATGTTACAAATATTAAAGACCGAAATATAAATTTGAATTTTACCCTTAGAAAGTGAATTGTGCATGAGTAGGATTTCCAGATGTAAAATTAAATCCAAGTTCTTCTAAAATAAAGGTTTAATAATAAGCCTTACAACATGTACAAGGAGGATATATTTACAAACCTTGTCTGCTGGAACCAAACCTCTTTTAACACCTCCAATTTTGTGAAAACGGAAGGATAAATGGTTAATAAAATATTCCAAAATTAAGGTCTTCCTTCCCCCAGACAAGGTTTGAAGTTTCTACCTCTCACACTATACTAGACATGATTTTGACACAATTTGACTTTATGTACATTTTACAAAAATTTATAATTCCAGAATGAGATCACATACATTGACTTCCTACTGGGTCCACGTACCAACTAACATCGCTTGATGGTCCCAGGTCTCGTAACACAGAAAGATGGGAAACTAACATGAAATACAAATTGCAACAAACAGAAAGATGACAGGAAAGAAAGCCAATACCACGATACGATCATCAAAAGACGGTTGTAAAAAATTGATAATTTTTTTTTATTATACATTGTTCAAATAGATACACAAAATATCCAAAACTTTTAGATTCTGTCTGTACTGAATGAAAAAAACAGTGATTCAAAACATGAACTATAGTCAACGTTTAATTCTAATACAATGAGGTGTTTATCCACATCATATTATAGTTGAGATATCCTTCACTCAAAACAATTGAACCAGCAATAAATATTTATATATGTATATAATATTGGATATTCAAGTCTCACTTGACCACTCAACTAGAGGAGGAAGTTGGAGAATCTACAAAAGATAGATAAGAAAATAATATTTTTCCCAATTGAACATGAAATAAAAGAATAAATAAAAAATACACAATTAAAATACATAGAGTAAGAATCGTCAGTAATCTGCAATATTAAAAAACAAAAAAATAAATGTCAAACCTGTTTTATCGATATCATTGACTATCACAAGTAAATCTATGTAGTTCTATATGTACTTGCCTCTAATTAAAAGAGAAAACTATTTAATATTTTCCAATGAAATCAGGTGTCTTCATACACCTGCTTATGTATTAAATAATCTTATGTGTATATGTTCGATCTTTGCATATATGTACTGTACAGAATCCCATTTTAATTTCTTATAATTACCTGTGAGATTTTTTTGCAACGTCAGATGTTTGTGTATACATATTGTCGAGTTTCGCAAAGATCCAACCCAGAGAAGTTGATATATATATGTAATCGTAGCTCAGGCTGTATGGACATTCCACCCCTTGTTGTTCTGTCAGTAGCACTGTCAGGAACTGACCATCCTGGTCTATCATCTGTACCGTCTCTGTGTAAAGATCACACACTCGGATGTGTGACAGAGCATCTGTACAAATTCCACGTGGTTTAAATTTCGATACTTGCGGATTTCCTGTGTAGGAAAAGCGATGAGTCCCAGTAGAGTCTGTCACCACTACAACACCTATCTCAGAAACATTATCAATCAAGTCAGAAACAATCACATCACCATTCTGGTTTTCTGTGATGTAAATTGGATTAACGTAGAGTCCGTGACCTGGGCTGTGTTGAAGTTCTTGTCCTGTACTATTGTACCGGCCTACCCTTGCTGCACATGAATCCTTTCGTTTCATCCCAATAAGCAGATCTCCATTTGAAGGAGAGCAGAAAAGACACAGCGGTTCCCATGGATTGTTATCCTCATCAATGTACAATATGTTTCATTGTTAAATATTTTGATGTTATTTATGTTGTCTATGTATGGAAGATCTCCTTGTCTTGTCACTGTGTGTACACAATTATTATTTTTACATTTATCTAGAACACTAATAGAACTGATACCATTTGTGTCTGAAAAGGTTAGATTGATCAAATCGCTGACCTAGGCGCCGTCTGGTGTGACAAAGGAGATATGGCGACTAACATTATAATTACTGTACAGCCAATGTCTCACTTTAAAAGATTTCTCTAACACTTGCGGAGACATTAGTTTCAACAGCTGTCCATTTCTTACTTGTCTTTTTTCAGTCTCTGTAATTGAGATTCTTCCTATATATAGAATCTTGAATATATTTTCTTGGTTGATTTCCTCTGTTGGAGAGTAAACTTTTATTGTCATCATAGCAGGGTTGTCACATTTCTTTGGGATTTTAGTTTTCTTAAAGATTAAAGGAATTGTTTCGCTTTATTTGCTGACTGTTCAAATCTATGTTCAAGTTTCTGTAAGGATTCAATTTGTCTCCGTTGCTGTTGAAGTCTAGCTTGTTGCTCACAGATGTCATCTAGTACGATGTGTATCTGATCCTTTTGCCTCTCGGCTTTGATATTTATGTTTTCCTGGAGTTTGAGATTTCCGTTTGACAAGATTTAATATCGGAATTGATTCCTGACTGGATACAACGATTATGTAGAGTAATCGCATTTTTGATGTGCAAAATTCTTAATGTAACTATGTTGCTTCTTCTGAGTTTGATACACTAACGTTATATCCTTATTTTCATGCCCTATGTGCTCTTCACAGCTAGAACAAACAGGAAGCTTCCACATTAAACACCATGTATCACAGAACATGTTCTGATGCCTCTCACAAATCTCTATTATCATGAATTCACCATCTTTATACATGTACCTTAAGTGTTTGGTCACTACATTGTGGTATTTGGTGTCAAAGTCTTTCAAATGTTTCTCCTTACAGAGAACACACAAGTGATTTTTACATGTATTGCATTTTTCTCACACTGTGAACACTTTTGGTATTTTTGAGCGTGTTGGGAAGGATACACTCATTATTCTATGGTACTGTTTTTTTCTTGAACTTCTTTCTCCATCAAGTTTCTTTCGCTACTCATTCATAATTGTGAAGCAATCTACATGTAAATAATAAATATAAACAATGTATCAAGAATCATACAAAAACACCTATTAACGATTTTGTTTCTCTAGGACCAAATATATCTTAAGCCACTCAGCCTTGAAAATAATATTTTTTCTGGAGCTTGGAAATTTCTGTTTGACAAGATTTGAAATCGGAATTGATTCCTAACTTGATACAACGACTATGTAGCATAATCTCAATTCTGATGTGATTATTTTTCCTGGCGAGTTAAATTAACCGAATTCATATTTTGAATTTCATGTCTTAAGTTATCTACAAATGAAAAAAGATGAAGATAATGAACAGTAATTGATCTAAAACGATCTACAAACAATACAAATCTGTGAACAGGGAATACAACACTGACCTCCATAAATTCCATAGCCGGTGGGATCAGGTGCCTAGGAGGAAGAAACATCCCATGTAGAACAAATAGAAAACTTACAATCAAGACATCACACCAAGTGATTGCCAAACAATTTTACCAAGTGTACACATTAACCATACATATAACAGTATAAAGCCGATAAACTATTACCTTGTTAATCTTTAAATGAAATGTTCGTATCTTTCCATATCAAAATGGATAACCCTTTCCCCGTACCAAAATTACTTGGAAGACAAAAATGGTTTTATTCTAGCCATATTTATAGCGATTCTAATAGTTGTAAAAATTTAAAACATAAAACTAATTTAAAAAAAGAAAAAGAAAAATAAGGTCCTTCACCCCTCTGATAAGATTAAAATTCGTCACTATGATAAATTGGATGTACATATACTATTTTTCCTTTATGAAAGTAATATGTTAATGGTCCATTTCTATCATCCCCCCCTGCAAGGTCTGCTTAAATTGTTTTATTAAAATTAACATGAAGTATAGGCACAAATTACCCTGTGTGCGGCGAGGGGTCTGGGGGCCGCCCAAGGCCCCAAGCGGGTCCAGGGCAGCGCCCTGGTAGGGGGTTCAGGGGGGCGAAGCCCCCCGACGGAAAATGAATTTCACGATTTTGAGACCCCTGGGTGACAAATTCTGGGCGTTTAAAATACAAAATTTTGAGTCTCTTTAAAATGAAATTTCATATTAAGTAGAAAAGCTAAGAACATGCAGTCCAACTTCTTAACCAGAAAACTTTAGTTAAAAGAGTTTTCATATTTTTTCGGCGTAATCAAATTTAGAACTTGAAAAAGATAGTTATTAAAAAAGTATTCAAAAATAATCAGACACAAAGCAATGTTTTACAATAAATAATAAACAAATATTTTTTTTTTCAGAAAAAAGCTAGTCTACCCACAAAGAAGTGGTAAATTTGGGTGGACAGCAATAAAAAAGTTCATTGCTTCTATTTCAAATCAATTTAATTAATTATTAATACCAAACATAGCATATCTAGTGAGCGTCAAGGGAGTTTTATATCTATATTTATAATTACATGTACTTGCATATAGAAATTTTCAAGACATTTTATAGGAGTTCCTACAGTGAAACAGTCGTATAACTATTGCAGGTTATTATAATTGTACTTTGCACAGGTCGGTGGTTATTTATACATTCATGATTATTTTCTCTCTTTTTTACAGTTTTGTTTGTAAGTTTTTTTTTTCTGAAAAAAAAAATTAAGTGTAGGCACGTGCCTTAAGTGCTTAATGGCAGCTACGCCACTGGTATGAAAAACATCAGTCAGCATTTGACTTAATGATAGATTGTATTTGCTGACAAGGTCATTGTATCGACCATAGAACTTACGAAATGATGACTTTAAACGAGACTGCTGATATTGTTGTTTCATCGACTTGTTTGTCAATAACTTACCTCGTTTTAGAAATTGTTCATATGTAGAGCATGCTCGAGCGTATCGAATCAACTGAGAGATATGAACCCCGTATGCAGATGATTAAGGTACATGTATATTGCTGCATAAGTAAGGGACGTTGACGATTGAAAAATAAAAGTCATCACGTTAATCATAAAGCTTTGTTGTTAGGTTACCATTTACGTCCTTTTCTAGTAAAATATACAACTATGAAGCAGATGTGTCAGGCTCTGTGGTATCTTTTATCTCAACGTCACAAGGATATATTGTATCGACATAAGAATGGAAATAGCCATTGTTAATTGACAATACGTCGTCGATATATCTAAATGTCGAGTTGAAGGCCACGGCAAGTGTTTTCTTCTTTTCACGTACAAGATTTGGACAAATTCTGCTTCATATGAATACAAAAAAAGGTCTGCTAATAACGGGGCACAATGGGTACCCATGGGAATTCCAATAGATTGTTGGAAGACCTGGTCTCCAAAAACTACATAGATATTTTCAATCAGAAACTCAAGCATCTGTTTAATGTCAACTTCAGAGTACTTGTGTGTACAATCAGAATGTTTTTTAACAAAATAATTTTGCAAATGACCAATGACAAGGTAAGTAAATTTACGAGTTCCATTTTTATTGAAAAAGCAGTAAATATATTCTGTTTTTCGTCTTTTAATTATACATGTACAGTTTATGATTAAAAAAAATATGAAGCCAATCTTTCAGTTCATCTCATTTATTGCAAAACTGCACTTCTATTAAGCTACAAATTTTCAATCCACAACATTATTTATTATCTAGCTTACATTTTATGTTTAATAACTTGTAATAGGACTTCAACTGCTTTATATTTAATCACATAAATGGTTTCCATATTTCATGAAAAAAAAACCCCAAAAGTAAGTGATAAGTACTAACACAAGATCAATTTATACAAAAGATCATGTTATATATAAACTTTATTTATTTTAGAATCTTCCATTCTCACGTGACCAATCAACTTGAGGCGGAGCCACTCGAGTCTACAAAAAAAAGACAAGAATGTAATGAAATTTATGTTTTTTACAATTCAAAATGACCTACATAAATAAATAAAAAATAATATACATAATCAAAGGGTGTAAAAGTTTTAATCCTTTAAAAAGATAACTGTTCCCTTTTAACCAGAATTCTCTGTTAAGACTGTACATGTAGCTCTACTGGCTACTTAAATAATATGACAGTAAAACCTGGAATTTTGAAAACCCCTTTATTAATTCTACATTTGCAGGATTGTGTACCCTGGTTTTTTAAGTGTGTAGCATTTTTTGTTGTAATCAAATCAATACATTACAACAGTAATATTTTGCAAGTCTTCAGTTTTCTTTCTCAGGTAACTACAGCAATTCCAGTAAGTCTCATTTTAACCACATGTGTAGGTTTTATTAAAATCATACCAAAACTGTAGGAGAAAAATTTTGAAAAAAGTTTACAGACAAAACAGACATACAGATATTTACAATCACATGTTTAACCAACAGAGGTAAAAGCTAAAGAAGTGTTTTACTGTGTTTTTACTTAATCTATTCATTTTATAGACGTTCTCTCCTCTTATATGAATCGATATCTAAAATAGATACAAAATTAATATCACATATAAGTCTGGTATTTATAAGTTTACAAGTAATGACAGTTTATAAATACAAAATTAATATCACATATAAGTCTGGTATTTATAAGTTTACAAGTAATGACAGTTTATAGATACAAAATTAATATCACATATAAGTCTGGTATTTATAAGTTTACAAGTAATGACAGTTTATAAATGGATACAAAATTAATATCACATATAAGTCTGGTATTTATCAGTTTACAAGTAATGACAGTTTATAAATGGATACAAAATTAATATCACATATAAGTCTGGAATTTATAAGTTTACAAGTAATGACAGTTTATAAATGGA